AACCACCCTAAGTCTATGGGACACAGTGAAAGTAGTCCTAAGAAGGAAAGTCATAGCACTACAGGCCTACCTCAAGAAACATGAAAAACCTCAAGTAAACAATTTTACCTTCTACCTAAAGGGGCCAGAAAAAGAACAGCAAAGCCCAAAGTAGGTAGAAGGAAGGAAATAATAAAGATCCAAGTGAAAATAAACAAAATAGAGTCTGAAAAAGCAATACAAAATATCAATGAAACCAAATGCTGGTTCTTTGAAAAGATAAACAAGGCTGATAAACCTTTAACTAGATTTATCAAGAAAACAAGAGAGAGGGCCCCAAAAATGAAATCAGAAATGAACGAAGAGAAGTAACAACTGACACCATAAGGATTATGAGAAAATATTATAAACTATATGCCAACAAATTGGACAATCTAGAAGAAATAAATTCCCAGAAAAACACAATCTTCCAACATTGAATCAAGAAGAAACAGAAGCCCTGGCCAGTTTGGCTCAGCGGTAGAGCGTCGGCCTGCGGTCCAGAGAGACCCGGGTTCGGTTCCCGCTAAGGGCATGTACCTCGGTTGCAGTTTGTCCCCGGCCCTGGTTGGTCGTGCGGGTGGCAGCCACTCGATGTGTCCCTTTCACGTCGATGTTTCTCTCTCTCTCTTCCTCTCTCTCTCTCTCCCTCCCCACTCTATCTGAACAAAAAATAGAAAAATGTCCTCGGGTGAGGATTTAAAAAAAAAAAAAAAAAAAAAGAAGAAACAGAAAATCTAAACAGACTAATTTTAACCAGTGCAATAGAAACATAAAAAAAACACACACACACAAAAAAACTCCAAAGCAAACAAAGTCCTGGACCAGATAATTTCACAGGTAAATTTTACCAAACGTTCAAAGAACTAATACCTATCCTTCTCAAATTATTTCAGAAAATTCAAGAGGAGGAAAACTCCCAACCTCGTTTTATTAGACCCATTATCTTAATTCCAAAACTAGAAAAAGACACTAAAAGAAAGAAAATTACAGGCTAATATCACTAATGAACATAGATGCAAAAAATACTCTACAAAATATCAGCAATCTGAAGTCAGCAATAATTAAAAAGATCGTACAGTGAAATTTATTTCTGGGATGCAAGGTTGGTACAATATCCACAAATCAATTAACGTGATACACCACATAAACAAACTGAAGAATAAAAATCACATGATGGTATCAATCACGCAGAAAATGCATTTGGCAAAATCCAGCATCCACTTATGATAAAAACTCTCAGCAAAGTGAAAATAGAGGAACATACCTCAACATAATAAAGGCCATATATGACAAACCCACAGCTAAAATCGCACTCAGTGGGGAAAAACTAAGTGTTTCCCTTAAGATCAGGAATAAGACACCACTTTTATTCAGCATAGTACTGGAGGTCACAGCAATCAGGCAAGAACAAGAAATAAAAGGCATCCAAATTGGAAAGGAAGACGGTTAAAACTGACATTATTTGCAGGTGACATGATACTATAAATAGAGAATACTAAAAATTCCACCAAAAAACTAGAACTGATAAATAAATTCAGTAAAACAGCAGGATACAAATAAATATTCAGAATCAGTAGCATTTTTATATACCAATAATAAACCATCACAGCAATTTTCAACTGACATGCCACAGATTTTTAAAATATGCAATACCTGACTATTTAGTAAGCGTCACTGAACTCTTTTTCCCTTAGATTGTCAAATTAAAAAAATGACAACAGCCAACACAACAAAAGCTGCCCATTGTGAATGAATAAAAATTACACTTTTTTTTGTCAGATTGGCAAAAAATATATTTTTTGCTGTGCTGCTGAATTTTAATAATTAGTTAATGTGTGTCATGAGATGAAAAAGATGAAAATTGCCAAACTATCAGAAAGGAAACCGAAGAAAACAATCCCATTTACAATTGCATCAAAATAAAATAAAATACCTAGCAATAAATTTAACCAAGGTGGTAAAAGACCTGTACTCAGAAAATTATAAGACACTAAAGAAAGAAACTGAAGAAGATACAAATAGATGGAAACATATACCATGCTCGTAGATAGGAAGAATTAACATAGTTAATATGCCCATAATACCTAAAACAATCTAAAGATTCTACACAATCCTTATCAAAATACCAATGGCATTTTTCACAGAACTAGAAATAATAATCCAACAATTTATATAAAAGAACAAAAGACACTGAATAGCCAGAGCAATCTTGAGAAAGAACATTGCTGATATCAAACAATACTACAAGGCTATAATAATCAAAATGGCATGATTCTGGTATAAAAACAAACACACAGATTAATGGAACAGAATAGAGAAACAGAAAAAAACTCATGCCTATATGGTCAATTATTGTAACAAGAACATACAATGGGGTAAAGACAGTCTATTCAATAGATTGTGTTGGGAAAATTGGACAGATATGTACAATGAATAAAACTAGACCACCTTCTTACATCATGACAAGAATAAACCCAAAATGGATTAAGTACTTTAATGTAAAACTCCTAGAAGAAACAGAGGCAATAAAATCTCTGATATTTCTCTTAGCAATATATATTTTTTTCTGATATATCTCCTAAGGCAAGGAAAACAAACAAACAAAAACAAACAAATGGAGCCCTGGCCGGTTTGGCTCAGCAGTTACAACATCGGTCTGTGGTCCAGAGAGACCTGGGTTCGGTTCCCGCTGGGGGCACGTGCCTTGGTTGCAGTTTGTCCCCAGCTCTGGCTGGGTTGTGCGGGTGGCAACTACTCGATGTGTCCCTTTCACGTCAATGTTTCTCTCTCTCTCTCCCCCTCCCACTCTATCTGAACAAGAAATGGAAAAATGTCCTTGGATGAGGATAAAAACAAAAAACAAAACAAACAAAAAAAAAACAAATGGAACTACATGAAACTAAAAAGTTTTTGCACAGTGAAGAAAACCATCAACAAGATGAAGAGACAACCTATTGAATGGGAGAAGTTATTCACCAATTATATATCCAATAAGAGGTTAATATCTAAAATTTATAAAAAACTCATACAACTCAACACCAAAAATACCCCCAAATAATCCAATAAAAAATATGGGTAGAGGACCTGAATAGACACTTCTCAAAAAAAGGACATACAGATGGCCAATAGACATAGGAAAAGATGCTCAGCATCATTAATCATTAGAGAAATGCAAATTAAAACCACAATGAAATATCACCTCACACCTGGTAAGAAAGGCTATCATCATAAATCAACAAACAAGTGTTGGCGAAGATGTGGATTAAAAAAACCCTCTTGCCCTGGCCAGTTTGGCTCAGCGGTTAGAGTGTCGGCCTGTGGTCTAGAGAGACCCGGGTTCAGTTCCTGCTAAGGGCACATGCCTCATTTGCAGTTTGTTCCCAGCGCTGGTTGGGTCGTGTAGGCAGCAGCCACTCAATGTGTCCCTTTCACGTTGATGTTTCCCTCTCTCTCTCCCTCCCACTCTATCTGAACAACAAATGGAAAAATGTCCTCGAGTGAGGATAAAAAAAAAAGGGAGAGAACCCTCTTAACACTATCGGTGGGAATGCAGATTGGTGCAGCCACTATGGAAACAGTAAGGAGGTTCTTCGAAAAATTAAAAATGGAACTGCCTTATGACCCAGAGACTCCACTCTGGATTATACATACAAAGAAATCCAAAATACTAATTTGAAAGAATACGTGCACCCCTATGTTCACTGCAGCGTTATTTACAATAGCCAAGATATGGAAGCAACCCAAGTGCTCATCAACAGACAAGTGGGTAAAATAGGTTACGATATATGTATGTATGTATGTATGTATGTATGTATGTATGTATGTGTGTGTGTGTGTGTGTGTGTGTATATATATATATAATGGAATATTACTTGGCCATAAAAAAGAATGAAATCTTACCATTTGCAATAGCATGGGTGGACCTGGAGGGTATTATCTAAGTTAAATAAGTCAGACAGAGAAAGACAAATACCATATGATTTCACTTATATGTGGAACCTAAAGAGCAAAATAAACAAACAAAATAGAAATAGACTCATAGATACAGAGAACAAAAAGATGGCTGGGGGTTGGGGGTGGCATCAGGGGCAGTGGTGGCATCGGGGATGGTGGTGGTGTGTTTGTGGAGCTGGGTGAAAAAGGTGAAGGGATTAATAGCTACAAATTGGTAGTCACAAAATTGTCCCGGGGATGTAAAGTTCAGTATAGGGAATATAGTCAACATTGTAATAACTATGTACAGTGTCAGGTGGGTACTTGGAAATATCGAGGGACCACTTTGTAAACTATATTGTTGTCTAACCACTATACTGTACATCTAAAACTAATACAAAGTAATACTGAACGTAAACTGTAATTGAAAAATAAAATTTAAAAACAAATAAAAAGTCTTTGATATATATCTTAATAATCCTTATTCTCTTTACCATTGTATCTGTTATTTTGGCAAATTACAAGAAAATGATAGTTCTGGTCAAAAGGCTAAAGTATACTTTAAACAGAAATAGGTACTACATATGTCTCAACCTTAGGATTACTAGTGTAGTTATGACCCACAATAAAGTACTATTTAGCTCTATGAGCATCAAAAGAATAGACACCTGCTGTGGACTAAATGTTTCCCCCAAATTCATATGTTGAAGCTCCAATCCCCAATGTGATAGTCCTTGGAAGTGGAGATTTTGGGAAGTAATTGAGTCAAGAGACTGGAGCCCTAATGAATGAAATTAGTGCCTTCATTAGAAAGACGCTTTCTCTTCCTGCCATGTGAGGATAAAGCAAAAAAGGTGTTCTTCTCCAAACCAGGAAGAGAGCTCTCATCAGGAAATCAGCCAATGCCTTGATTTTGGAGTTCTCAGTCTTCAAAACTGTGAGGAATAAATTTCTGTTGTGTAAGCCACCCAGTCTATGGTATTTTTGCTATAGCAGCCTGAAGTGACAGACAGTCCCACTAGCCAAAAATTAATAGCAATGCCCACCTTCATCTTCACTGCTATCAGACTCAGGAAGTTTGAGTCTTCTCCTCTTTTTCTTCATGTTTATAGTTTCTTTTGTCTCATCATCAGAGAACTCCACTCGCTTCCCCCTGTGGCCATCCAGGAAAAATTTAAGCATGTTACACAAAATAAAATTATAAGTACTCATATGTTACTATGAGTCTTGCTTTATAACTCATGGTCTTAATTCTAGAGGTCAGAAAAGTCAAAAGAGACTAAGAAGGATTCTTTTTAACGTTAACTGACCACAAATAGGTTACTTCATGGGGTGACCAGAATAAAAATTTTCTCTAGCTCTCTAAAGACCACTGGAAATTACTACCAGACTATTGAGAATCTTCCTAAATCCTTACTTCCCCTATTGGCCTTTTAATAGTTCAATAGGCATTAAATAAGCAGCTATTATCTACATATACGAGGCTCTTTGCTAAACTATGAAGATGTAAGATTAATAAAACACTGTTCTCAAGAAGCTTTGACTGGAAAAACAGATATAAACACTAACTATAATACGATGTGATCATTTTACTGGACAAACGTTATGGAACACGAGTCTTACTAAAAGCTAAGTAGAAGTTCGTCAGATAGAAAAGGGATACATATTTTACTTTATTTTTTTTGTTAATCCTCACCTGGGGATATTTTTTCCATTGACTTTTAGAGAGAGTAGAAGAGTGGGAGGGAAGGGGAGAGAGAAATGGAGGGGGGGAGACAGAGAGAGAGAGAGAGAGAGAGAGAAAAGAGAGAGAGAGAGAGAGAGAGAGAAACATCGATATGACAGAGACACATCGATTAGTTGCCTCCCACATGAGCCTTAATCAGGGCCAGGGAACGGACCTGCAATCCAGGTACGCGCCCTTGACCCGAAATCAAATCCATGACCCTTCAGTGCATGGGCCAACACTCTAACCACTGAGCAACACCAGTCAGGGCTAAAAAGGGATACATATTTTAAAGAGAAAAAAAACCCCAATATAATCAAAGGCATAGACATAAGACCTCAAGGTGATTCTAATGACATAATAAAAAACCTACACTCCATCTTGACATTTATTTAGCTCCTCTGGATACTCCATCACACTACTCATTCGATCAACAATATATCAATGGTCAACAGTGTGTTAGAGACATAATTTTTATCTTCAAGTATTTTATTTCTTATGTTACTTTAAGTATCAACTTATTTTTCTACCTTAAGCCACAAAAAGACAAATTCAACCCAAAATAAGCAGAAGGAAATAATAAAGATAAGAACAGAAATCAATGAAGAAAATTAACAAAGTTATTATTTTGAGGGAAAATATTAATAAAATTAATAAGCCTTGTTAAGACTGAGTAAAAAAAGACAAAAAAAATATGTTACCAATATTAGGAATGAAAGAATGAAGGAATTTACAGTGGTAACTACAGATACTCAGAGAATAAGACTATGGTATGCATAACTTTAAGCCAATAAACTCAACAACTTAGATGAAGTAGATAAGTTCCTTTAAAAACACAACCAAATTGACCCAAAAAGAACAAGAAAATGTGAACAGATTTATTTAAAGAAATAAAATTCATAAAAAAAAAAAAACCTTTCCCACAAAGAAAACTCCAGGCCCAGATTCACTTGTGAATTTTATCAAACGTTTAAGAAAGAAATAATACATATCATACACAAACAGAAAACAGAGGAGTAAACTTTTCCCAACTAATTTTAAGAAGTCAGCATAACTCTAACACTGAAATCTGATTAATATGATACTAGAAAAGAAAAAAAAAATTGATCCATAGCCCTTGTAAATGTAGAGGCAAAAAAATATTTATAATATTAACAAATAGAATCCAGCAATATATAAAAAGGATAATACATCCCAACCAAGTGGGGGTTTATCCCAAGAATGCAAGGTTGGTTTAACATTTGAAAACTAATCAGTATAATTCACTACATTAACAGAAACACTGTCTGATCATTTCAATAAATGCAGAAAAAGCATTTATCAAAATTCAACACCCACTGATAATAAAACCTCTCAGCAAACTAGGAATAGAACTTCCTCCATCTGGTAAAGGGCATCTACTAAACTATATAGTTAATATTATACTTGGTGCTGAAATACTGAATGCATTCCTAGCAATAACCATCAACAATGAGTGTTGTACCCATGGTTGGGACATTTTAATCCATCCATATCACATGTTCCTAGGAGATGAGGCCCACTGGACATTGCCTTGACCCTCTGAGACTTCAGCATTTTGTTGATGTTTTCTATTAGAGTATCCCCAACCTTGCCACAAAAGTGAAGTATTTCTGGGCCTATCAGTGCTGACAGTGTCCTTTAGAATTTCTTTCAACAGACTAATTCCTACCAACTATGAGGTAGTGTCTCAAATTCCTGGATCCATTTTTAACAGCTTGTGTGCTTTTTATTTTCTTTTCTAATTACATTTTACCACTTGAAAAATAAACTCATTGATATAAAAAGAAAACAAAGAACTTTTTCTCTTAAATTTGTCTGGGAAGAGTAACCTTTCATTTGCGATCTGAAGTGAAAAACAGACACACAATCAGGCACACTTATGCCATGTCCACAAATTCAAAATAAAGGAGAAAAGACAATTGATTTAGATCAATGGGACCCAAAAAATAGACTCTGGGCTTTAAATGATCTAAAATGCAGATTCCAGGTCCACTTCACTATATGAGATATTGAGCTTCTCTCCTCACTTTGGTTTATATAGCTATATATAGCTATATATTGAAAGCATTAAGTAGAATTTAGTGCTCAACCAAAAACTGCCTGCTGTCAATAAGCCCAAACAGACCTTCTCAATCCCAGCAGAAACACTCTTCCCCAACAAGTGACAAAATTTTCCTACCTTTTTTTCTCCTGCTGCTGCATCTTAACAGGCTCTGCTTTTTTGCTGGATTTCTTCAGGACTGCAGGGGCTGCCAGCTTTGGTTCAGTGACAGACAGTAGAGGTTGTTCCACTACTTTTTCTTCTTTCACTGCTTGCTCCGAATCCAAATTGCCTTTAAGTTTATCTACAAATAAAGCATAACAGACCATGCATAATCCCATCATGCAGTATTAATCTATCATTTCTTTGACCATTCCTTTGACGGTCTACTAAGTGCCAGGTAATGTAAGTATCAGGGACTAAAGAGGTTAAAAACACACACACAAAAACAGTTCTTGTCCTAACAGAGCTCATGGTCTAGTCAGAGAACATCCCTCCTGTCCAACTACCACCCTAGCTATAACTGTTTTCATTTCTGCCTCCTGTTAATCCCTCATAATATTACACCCCCAGGGCAAATGATAATAAATGCAAGGCTCAGAAAAAAACAAATACAATTTTATGAGGTATCACCATTCTCATTTGCTAGATAAGGAAACTAAGAGCCAGAGGGATTAAAAGATGTTTCCCAAGAGTACACAGCTTACAAATAGTGACAACAGAAATTTGTACTAAGATCTTATTTTCTATTATATTCTATCTTTTTAAGCCTGGATACTTTTATATACTACTACCTTAATGATGTAATTGAAAGACTATTTTGAATCAGAAAAGTTTGGTTCAAATCTTGCATCATTCTGGGCAATTTATCTAAACATCAGTCTTTTCTGTAAAAACTGGAGTAATATTTACAAGATTATCATAAACATTAAAAGAGATCAGTATGTGAGGTTAAGTGATTTACTTCAAGGTAACACTGATGGAAAAGGAAGAGCCAGGATCTGAACTTCAATCAGTTTAATTCCTCGAAGTCTTTACCCCTTTCCCTACATCAGGCTGAAAAACACAAAAACAACTACAGGGTAGTGCAAAGGACTAAGAATTTTAAGCAGGATGGGCCTTGCCATCTGAGAAATTATACAAAGAATATATAGAAATTATATGCTATACCTAGTGATAGTTTTTGTTTAGTTTTTTTCAAGAAGTCACACAATACTCTTAGAAAGTTGCAAACAGCATGAAGCACTTCAATAAGTAGTTTTGGCTATATGTCATAAAATAGCTTAAACCATCTACAGTACAGGAAAAAAAATGACTGCTATCTTAGTTTTTGGCTGTTACACATAGTTTAGTAAAACAGTTTATAAATAAAGTATATTATTTGAAAGAACAGATGATGGATAAAAGTGTAACATACAATCTGTTTATGCTTTATTTTTTGAAAACTTAAATGGGAAATCTGAATGGTTGAATCCACCAGCCCTATGGTGGCATTCTCTCTTGCATTTTCACTACTGCTGTTCTCAATTATCAGTACTTCTCAAACTTTCCCACCTAACTATATAGGAGAGTAAACATGTATCTCCAAGGGGTCCAAGAGTCAGTGACTGATGCAAAAAAAAAAAAGTTTCCTGAAGTTGCATGTGTATCCTTAAAGTTTTTGCAAATTCTGCATTCTGTTACATAATTTACATCATTTTGTTAGCATCTATTTCAAAATTACATCATTAGGAAGAAAACCTCCAAATATTTCCAACCTACCTCATGGGTTAAGGAAAGAGAGACTACATATCTAGTCTATCAATTTCAGAAAACTGATCTAAATTAAAATACCACTGATCAATCAGATTTAACATCCAGAGTTGTAGTCTCTGCCTTGGTTTCACAGCATTTTGGGAACCCCAATTTATACATATATGAAATTACAATTGGCCTATCAGCTGGTAAAGAGGTAGTTTATTTTAACAATTTCAGGCAACTGTTAAGGAAAATTTAACATGATGACTTTAATTGTCACTAATGTTGCAATTTTTTTAACATAAAAAAGCATTGCCCTGGCAGGTTTGGCTCAACGATTAGAGCATTGCCCCACGGACTGAATAGTAACAGGTTCAGTGCCTTGGTTCCTGGGTCTCCAGCCCCAGTAGGGGTTGTGCAGGAGCCAACCAATTGATGTATTTCTCTCACACTGATGTTTCTCTCTCTCTCTCTGTCCCTCCCACACTATCTAAAACTCAATGAAAAATATCCTCCTTGGGTGAGGAAGAAAAAAAAAAAGCAAGGTTTCTGTTATTGAGATATAATTCACACATCATAAAATACTTTTTGTCTCTATATATTTGCCTATTGTGGACATTTTGTATAAATGTAAATCAAACAATACTTGGCCTTTTGTTCTGGGCTTCTTTCATTTCTATGTTTCAAGGTTCTTCTTTATTGTAGCATGTATCAGTACTTCATTCTTTTAATTTATTTATTTTCTTTTATTGATTGAGAGAGAAAGGAAGGGAGAGAGACAGAGAGATAGAAACATTGACGAGACAGAACATCGATTGGCAGCCTCCTGCATGCCCCACACTGGGAATGGGCCCACAAGTTGGGAATGTGCCCTGACTGGGAATTGAACTGGTGACCTCTTGGTGCATGGGTCAATGCTCAACCACTGAGCCACACTGGCCGGGCATGTCATTCTTTTTAGATTGAATAATATTGCATTATGTGGATATACCACATTTGCTTATTATATTCATCAGATGATGGAACTTTTTAGCTGCTATTAACATTTTTGTATAAGTTTTGTGTGTACATACAGTTTTAATACTTTTTTTGGTAAAGAAAAATTTTATTTTTATTTATTTATTTTTAAATTTAATTTAATTTATTTATTTACAGTTTTAATTCTTGAGTAGATACCTGGGAATGGAACTGCAAGGTACCTCTAGATTTAACTTTTTGTAGTATTACCACTTTTATTTTTTAAGTGGGCATATCATTTTCATTCCCTACAGAAATATATAAAAGTTCAACTTTTCCACATTCTTGCCAATGCATTAAAAAAATAATAAAATACACACACACAAACACACACCTGTGAACCTCACTGAAGTTGCCAAGAAACCACACAATTTGATTGGGTACAGTGGAGCAGAGCAGTACCAGCCACATAGGCCAGTAATATTAGCACAATCTATTTTCACAGAAGTAGGAAGCTGTCCTTGTTCACTGTACTTGCAAGAATTGTGGCCCTGGCCAGTTTGGCTCAGCGGTTAGAGCGTCAGCTTGTGGTCCAGAGAGACCCGGGTTCAGTGCCCGCTGAGAGCACGTACCTCAGTTGCAGTTTGTCCCTGGCCCTCCTTGGGTTGTGCGGGTGGCAACCACTCAATGTGTCCCTTTCACATCGATGTTTCTCTCTCCCTCCCTCCCACTCTATCTGAACAAAAAATGAAAAGGTGTCCTCGAGTGAGGATAAAAAAAAGAATGCAATTGTGTTTCCCAACAACCTGAAAGTATCAAATTTTCCATATGCTTTCAGAACAAAAATATGTCCTCTGATAGCTTTTATGGCAAATAAAAAACTATCACCCAACCTCTCTCCCAACCACCAATTTGACCATCACAGAGAAGCAGAATTCTGACTATTTTGCTTGCATAGGCATGCAATAAAGTGCCTCCCCACAAAATCTTTATAAAACTGATGCTCCAAAAAAGTGTGCTATAATTATCCTGTGGCTCTACATTCTTCCTGGTATTCTGCCACATACCCTCAGGGGATGTTTATTTGATATGAGAAGTATGAAAATATGTGACTATTGGTTCCTTCCATATGAAAGAATTCTTATTTAAATTTTATTTTTTTAAAAAGGAGGTATTTTTTAAATGGCCAGTACTATCTGGGCACATCTAATTCACACTGAGGTCTAGTTCATTACTATGAGTAATCTGCAAGAATAACTGAAGAAAGGCAAGAGCTTTGTTTTTGCACCTCCTTGGGAAATGGGGTAATAACGGTCACACCAGACAAACTGACCCCAGCATCCAAGATATTAACCTCTGAGAGGGGTGGGAGTGGGTCAATGGGGGAAAAAGGAGGGACATCTGTTATACTTTCAACAATAAAGATAAAAAAATAAAAATTAAAAAGAAAATAAAATTAAGAGCTAACAAAAAAAGATATTAAACTCAACACTGTACTGCTTTAACCAGGCAGCCTCCCTTTTGTTTTAATCCCCATTTTCAAGAGTTCTACAAAACAAATATTTCTCTTTTCAAGGCAAGGGGTAAAATAGGAATAGTAAACTTATACTCCAAGGGATCTGAACTGAACCCAGCTCACCCATAAAATCCACTGTTCCAGTTGGGTTACTTTCATCAATATACTAAAAATCGATGTTAAGATTCAGGACCGCTACATGGTAGTGTCCTAGATGGGTAAAATAGGCTTTCACCTCAGGTATATAATAAGTTATTATAATAACATTCATGTATTAGTAAACAAAAGAAGGTAAGAACATGCTTACTCATAGCAGCTTTTCCAAAAAAATTGCTCATCACATTCCCTTTCCCTGGTGCCTTGTTGCCTGCTGAAGATGCCTAAAAGCATAGAAAAGAGATGTCATGATGGTTCAGTATTTATATAATCATGCCAAAATGTGTATGCATCAGATATAAGAACAAATCCAGACCTGCCAGCATCGGGTGTTAATCTCCAAAGCTTAGATTCTCAGAGTTCTTATAAAATTATTATCCATAAATATGTTTAAACTTTTCTTGTATTTAAAAACTACTTAGTTTGACAGAATTAAAATAGATCAGAGGCAGTATGATACACGATGGGGAAAAACCTCCAAAACATTACATTTGCAATCATCAGAAGTGGATTTGATGCTGGTTCCACCACCTAACAGCTCAAGGCTTGGTGAGGAGCACTATCAAAAGAAAAAGGCCTATTTCAGATAAAAGCATCAAGTTAAATTAAAGAATTCAAACTGAAGTATAAAAATTAGAACTAAATATCAGAACATTATATAATTAAACTACTTCCACTGGTACTATTAATGCTTTTCTAGTTACCCATTCTGAGTTAAAAAAGCTTATCTTTATTCATTTATTTTTAAATCCTCACCCAAGGATATTTTCCCATTTATCTTCAGATAGAATGGGAGGTGGGAGAGAGAGAAACATTGATGTGAGACAGACACATCAATTGGTTGCCACCTGCATAACCCCGATCAGGGCTAGGGACTGCAACCAAGATACATGACCTTGGCTGGAACTGCAGACCGACGCTCTAACTGCTGAGCCAAACTGGCCAGAGCATGAAAGGCGTATCTTTAAAGCAAACTTACATTTGTTACCTCTTTAGCTTCTGTTTTGGTTTCTTTGTTGGTATCTTGGGTTTTAGAAGCAGCTTTAGAGGCAAACATTCCCATAATTCCTTTAGGTTGGTGGGAAATCTGTTTGGAGATAGGAGGGCCATGACCATTGGTGGTCAACTCATTATTGGCTTGTGACTCATTTGACACCTGAAGATTTGACTGCTCAAACTTTTCAGAAGATGAGGTTTCAGCAGAAGATCTAGGGACTGCAGCTGCACACTGTATGGCACTAAACCTGAGACAGAAATGTTAATGTCAGTATCAAACCTTACTTTCAAACTCTTGCTCTTCAATATAATACTTTCTAAGTCTAATACTATAAAAGGAGAACATTTAGAACTAGAATGAATTTTAGAAATTAATCTGTACACAACTCTCATTCAGATAAACAAGTATTGGAGAGAAGTAGGTTAGTAAAAAAAAGACTAGGATTGGAATCAAAACTAGGATATGGAGAGCATTTGAGATCTTGATCCCAGAATGTCATCAATTTGGCTCAAATAAATTCTTATAAAAATTAAGAAAAAAGAACCTATGATATGGAATCTACCATACCATGTTGAATATTGTTTTGAATAAAGCATCCTAATTCTAAATAGTAAGAATTCACCAAACAATAATAAAAGATCAGTTATTTCATCATACTTGGGAAACCAAATGATTATCCTCTTGTAGGGCTAGATATTAAGAGCTTTAAATATTAACAAATTTCCTGCCCTGGCCAGTTTGGCTCAGTGGTTAAGTGTCGCCCACAGACCAGAGTGTCCCAGGTCCGATTCTGGCCAAGGGCATGTACCTTGGTTATGGTTCGTCCCCAGCCCCGGTTAGGGTGGGTGGCAACCAATCAATGTGTCTCTCTCACATCAATGTCTGTCTGTCTGTCTGTCTGTCTGTCTCTCTCTCTCTCTTCCTCCTTCCCTCCCTCCTGCTCTATCTGAAGATAAATGGAAAAATATCCTCAAGTGAGGATTAAAAAGAAAAGAAAAATGGCTAAAATGGTAAATTTTATGTTATACTTATTCTACCACAATAAAGTTTTAAAAATAAATAAAAAAAAATGTTAACAAATTTTCTGGCAAATCTCCTGGCCAGAGTGGATCATGATAAAACATGGAAGAAGCAATGGAAAAATAACCTTGGGTTATGATTAACAAAAATAAATAAATAAATTAATTAATTAATAAAAAACACGGAAGAAGTGTCCCGCCTGGGTAGGTAGCTAAGCTGATTGGAGCGTCATCCTGATACGCCAAGGTTGCAGGTTCAATCTCCAGTCCGGGCACTTACAAGAAACTACTGCAACAATTTGTTGTTCCATCAATAGGTGGAACAAGTTGTCGTTTCTCTCTCCCCCTTCCTCTTAAAAAAAGCAATAAATAATATATTAAAAAAAATAAAACATGGAAGAAGCTGGGAACACAGCCACTGGCTCCTATAACCATGGTCCTTAACAGTTGTTTTCTAATAATTCCTAATAATACCAACTAACAGCTCCAGAAAAGCATGTCCAAAGCCAAATGAAGAAATTTGGAACTGTGTGCATGGATATTAAAGGGAACATTCACTGTAGATATGCCCGTTTCACTCAAGTCCATAATGTAATGTTCCACATTGTGAATGGATAACTGATCCAGTTTTCTCAAATGGCTATACTTAAAGCAAAGCTCCCCAACTTCCTCCCCTAGTCTTTTCTTACTGGGAGTATGTGAAAGCTCCTTGAAGGTAGGAACATGTACTATTCATTATTTGTATTTCAGGTACTCAGTAGAAGACCTGGCATAAGAGTATCAAGAAATATACATTGAAAGAATGATTATTTAAGTCACTGAAAGTGAGGCTTCTGGCTTCTCTCCCATCTTCAGTGTATCACCTCAACTTGGGGTGGGGGAAGATGGAAGTTAAGAAACTATGTGGTAAAAGCAATTATCTTATGATCAACCAGGCACAAATTCAAGATTAGCTGCTAGAATAACTGGCCTAAGGAAGGAAAAAAAAAACCCTGATAAATCATTTAATTTCAAAAGTAATTTCAGACTGAACAGCCCCAAAGCTAGACTTTACAGCTCCAAAAATCTTCCACTGATTTATTGTGGTCCACATTAGAAAACCCTACATTAACACAACTATTTTGTGCATCAGAATTAAGAACAGACGGAAATCATTTCCTTTCGCCCACCACTCTACCTCTCTGGCCTTGCAATGCTTCCATGTTCAAGGAAAAGAGCAGTGTTTTATTTCATTGTCAACATCTAAAGTTGGCCCCAGGACAACTCTTTCTCCATTTGGTCTACATTCCACACCTTAGGGTCAGGACCACGAATTGGCAGTGAGGAAGAGACCAAGCCAGGCTGGGAACTTGTCCGAAGAAAGAAGAATCTGCTCAATCCTAAAATTTCAACTTTCTTCCTGTCACAGCACTTCTTAAAAACACATGAAGCAATGAGTCAGATCTCAGTTGGCTCATAATTCTCAGGACCAAATACAAGTTTCTTTATTGGAGATAAATTCTTCACATTTTTACCAAGGCTACTTTAAGTATTTAAGTAAAGTTTCATTAAAGTGCTTCCTATTACCAGATTTCTACTTGCCATATTTATTTTAGAGGTCCCTGTGCAAATTTTTTGAACCTTTGAGTCACTTTTATTCTCATTTGCTTACTTGCTAGATATAACAGAAGAAATAATTTTTAGAGCTCGACATACCATGACTAGATTTTAATATACTATTTTTGAAATCTAATAATTTACATAAATGTATCAGGTATTGTTTCCTGTAATCTTTCCCTAAAAGACACCAGACTTACAAGTTATTACTCTTTAGTTATATAATTATATTTACTTAATATCTGTATGCCGATTACACTCAAGGTTTTAAACTAAAGAAAAAGAACTAATGTCTAACATTAGTTCATTCAACAATTATTTATTGAATGCTTACCATCTGCCAAGCACCATTATGGATATAGAGTAGTTAACAAAATAGACACGATTCCTATTTTCATGGAACTTACAGAAATTATGTTTGGAAATTCTATATCTATTTGTCCTCTATCAGTTATCTCACCTCCTCAGTATCTTCAATCATTTCCTCTTTTTTTTTTTGCTCTTTCTTAACAGTACAAGTTCAAGGCACTTTCAACTTGAAAAATGTAGATATCTTCCCTTAGTCTCAAGTTCTCCTTAGCTACCTCCCTCTTTTTTCTCCATTGTATAGTCATATTTCCTGGAGTTATCTATATTAATTCAGCTGACCAGAATCTGGTACTCCACTAAAAACGCTCTTACCAAGGTCATCACTAAATCCAAAGGACACTTCAGTTCCTTTTTACTTAGCTTCTCAGCAAGGTTGGATATTATCAACCAGTCCCTCCTTCTTAAAGCTCTTCCCTTAGCTTTTAGAACTCCACATACTCTTGTAATCTTCCTCTTATCTCTGGCTGATCCTTCTCAGGCCCCTCTTTTTCTGACCATCCTTTAAAAATGGTTATCATTTAAATAGTGCTTACTATGTGCCAAGCACAGTGCTAAGCACTTTACATACTTTAATTCATTTAATGCTCTACAGCCCTGTGAGGTTTTTACTATTGTTGGCTTCATTTTACTGATGAGGAAACTAAAGCGAAGAGGTTAATTTGCCCAAGGTAACACAGCTAACAATCATGGTGTGGAGTTTTACTTTCTGTCCTCCTTTCATTCTATACATTTCCTCTGTATGACTATGTCTACCCAATTAATTACCTATTTTCTCTGATTCCAAAATCCTTATCTTCACCCCAAATGATCAGAGTATTAAGCAGGCCCTGAACCATAGTCACTCTACAGTGTGGCACATCGTAGGTACTCATCATCTAAATGCGCCTGTCTACTGCAATGGACATCTATCTCTACTTGGACTCCCCACAGGTTTCTCAAATTCAACATGTCCAAACCCAATTCATCATTTTTCCCTCACACAAAGACTGCTCCCCCTTACACATTCCCTTTCTTAGTGATGGTCATCTATTCAGTCACCCAAGCCAAAAACATGGCCATAATTATTAATACCACAAACACAAGACCCATCCCCACACCTGGCCCCAACTACCACCACAGCATCCAGGATTTGATGGCATGACTCTTTAACCTTCATACCGTCCATCCCCAACACCATTCCTGTACTTTAGATAACTGTCATCTCTACCCTGGATCACTGTAACAGTTCTCCTCCCTGATGGCCTTGTTTCCAGATTATTCTCTTCTGATCTGACTTCACCATCACAGCCAGAGTCATCTTTCTCAAATGCAATTATTTCACTCATCTGCTTAAAAATCTTCAGTCTTCAGTGCTTTGGAATAAAGTCTAAATCTTTAATAGGCAAAGCAAAGAATCTGATTCCTACTTGAATTTTATCTCATTACTTCCGACCTCTCACTCTAAGTTCCAGCCATACAAACGACTGTGGTTCTGCACAAGCACCAGGTTTTTTCCTAGCTCTGTCCTTACTCTCCAACTTCTCCTTTGATTGGCTACTTCCACTGGGCCTTCACACTTTGACTTAGATGTCATTCCGATCAAGCCTTCCCTATCTTGCCTCCACACTCCACCCCACCCAAAAATGGGAGATGAATGCCCCCCCTAACATCTTCCCACACTATTACTCCTATTAAAACACTGCCACACTGTGCTGTAATTGCCTCCCACAGGACCATCAGTGCCAATGCAGGCACTGGGTCATATTCACTCTATAGAGTGTGGCATGTCATAGATACACATCAGATTTTTGTTGAATGAATTCAAGTTATCTTGCTTAGTATCTGTTAAAGTAGTAGGCATTCAACCTGTATCTGGGGAACTGACCTGAACCTTCCATACAACCCCACAAAATAGGAATTATTATATCTAATTTAAAGATTCAGAAACCAAATCTCAAAGACTTTAAGTAATTTGTCCAAAGCCAGGGGTATTAAGCATCAAAGCCACAACTCAAGCTCAGGACCAACAATTCCCCAAATCCACATGCATTATAGTCCATCACTTCCCCTTATTGTAAAAGATACCAAAGATGAACAAGATCTGATCCTGGTTGTGAAAGATCAACTACTTTCAGATGCAAGGTAGAGGGTATCAAATTAGGAATAGTTTTTGAAGGACAACATTTGAACTAGTTCTTAAAGGATGGGCAGAATTTAGACAAGCAGAGACTGGGGTAAGGGAGTAATGAGGGGGCACAACAAACATTTCTGGTGGCAGTGACAGGATAAATACATGAGAAAAAGATTTATGGGGAGTCCACTGGGGTTTTCAATATGGGTTGTGGCTGCTATTTTTCACCTTATGATGTACTAATAAAACCAGGCATGTGTCTTACTGCAAGATAAATGGGGTTTTACTAGACTTGGCATTCACTCTTAAGAGGCAGCCACTGTGTAAACATCTTACAAAATCAATTCGTAAAGAAGCCCACAAGGAACATTAAGGAGCTCACTTGCTGCAGTTCTGCAAGTTGCTTTTAAGGATGTCATAGTCGGTATTGAACAGAGGCCCACTGTCCTTTAGCATGGCTTTCTGGATGCTGTACACATGGATGCTGGCAGTCACAGCTAGCTTGGACTTCACTGCTACAAGTCAACAGGAAAAGCAGTCTGTTAATACACAAACTTCATAGCATGTGGGGACTTTAACAAGAAACCCTTCTGCATTAAAACCATTTGCAATCTGTGGTGGTCCAAAAAGTTCTAAAAGGCCAAATAGCCACATATACAGTATAACATCACCTCTTCTGTCTCCAATGGGACGTTATGACAAGGTAGGTGGTGGTGAGTCAGTTCTAAGTACAGCACCTGTGAGGGTTATCACTCATCCAGTGGACACTCAGTAAATACTAATGAATGATTAATGATGACTGTGATCTTTTTTTTCAGTCAGGAAAGATTCTTACACTCTAGCATATAATTGAGGAATAAGCAATTTTTATCTGATAAGAAGACTCACTTATGTAATTCAACTTTAGAGCAAGCAACTCTGTAACAAAATATTACAAACCAGTTGGGTCTGCAGAGGAAAAAACACAAAAGAACATCATAGGAACAAATTTTAGGTTCCATGATGGGGAGGACTGTGCCTAACTTGTTCCAAGTCTCTAGTGCCTAGCCCAGAGCTTGACAGAGTAAATACTCACTATGTATTGACTGAATGAATAAATCTTGCTTGGCCTACCAATGTGGGAACTCAGGAAGAAAAAAGTAGACAACTCCACCACCTTGAATACATCAAAGTTAATTTGTTATAAAATGACTCCACCGGCAGGAGTCTTTCTTTATAAAGTACAACTGTGCAGATTTTGTCTTATGACATCAGTCCAAGATCACATGGAGTCTGCTGCTATACAATTCCTTTAAATTGAGTTTTTAAAAAATAGAACAGTTGTCCGGCCAGTGTAACTCGGTGGGTATCGACCCATGCACCAAGAGGTCGCCGGTTTGATTCCCAGTCAGGGCACATTCCCAGGTTGTGGGCCAAATCCCCAATGAGGGGCATGCAGAAGGCGGCCAATCGATGTTCTCTCTCATTGATATTTCTGTCTCTCTCTCTCCCCCTCTCCCTTCCTCTCTAAAATAAATAAAGGAAAAAACATTTTTTTTAAAAATAGAACAGTAGCATAAATAGTCTTGAAACAGGTGAACAAATTTAATTTAGACATTTTATTAAGTCTTTCTGACTTTAGAAAAGCATTCATTAATTCTCTTCCTAAAAACCTGTTATGAAACACATGATAGAGACTCCTGTCTTTTTAGTTGAGGAGCTGCTCCATATGGTATTCATCATAGTGTTTTGTATGTCTGTCACGAGTTTTGAAATCCTGTGATCAAAGTGCTTTATACATGTTAGCAGCTATTGACCTTAAAAATGGGAAATTAGGCAGATGTAGTATCATATTTTAATGTTTCAGAAACTACTAATAAAAAGAATTTACAGCTCTTTAGTTAAACAGCAAACTATATTGTATGCAGATGTTAGGGGCAGATTTTTTTTATTGTACCTACATTGATGCCATAAGAGGAAAAACTTGTTAAATTGCTAAAACACTTACCTTCCAATTTATCTTCTCTCACTACTGCAACCTTGTGGCACTGTAAGGAAATAACACTTCATTAACGTTTAAAGTAGTACAACTTTCTAACTTAAATTTTCCTAGCCAATAATTTCAGTTGCACTAGAATGTAAAATTAGGAACATAACCCCTGAAAAGATATGTTACAGTTTAATAGTCACACTCATTTTTAACTTACTTACATTAAAACCTCTTAGTGAGGTTAAGGAAAGTGACAGAGTATAGATATCAATACAATTTTTTAAAAAAGCCCTGGCCAGTTTGGCTCAGCGGTTACAGTCATCAGCCTGCGGACCAGAGAGTCCCAGGTTCGGTTCCTGCTAAGGGCACGTACCTTGGTTGCAGTTTGTCCCTGGCCCCCTTTGGGGTTGTGTGGGCGGCAACCAGTTGGTGTGTCTCTCTCGCATCAATGTTTCTCTCTCTCTCTTCCCCCCTCTCTCCCTCCCGCTCTGAGGATAAATGTAAAAATGTCCTCGGGTGAGGATAAAAAAATGATAATAAAAATAAATAAATAAATAAAACCGCCCTGGCCAGTTTGGCTCAGTAATTAGAGTGTCGGCCAGGGAACCACGTACCTCCGTTGCGGTTTGATCACCGGCCCTGGTCGGGATTGTGTGGAAGGCAACCAATCACTGTGTCTCTCTCACATCGACATTTTACTCTTTCTTTCTCTTCTTTCTTCCCTCCCTCCCACTCTATCTGAAGATAAATGGAAAAATATGCTTGGGTGAGGATTAAAAACAAACAAAAAAACTCACAGCATGTTAAACCATTGTGAGGAAAAGTGGTCTTTGTAATAGGTAATGTAATGAGGATTACTGTATAATCATATGGAACCCAATAAAAATTGGATGTCTCTCACACCATAGACTAAATTCTTAATGAATCTGAGATCTAAATGCAAAGAATGAAACCATATAAGCACTAGAAGAAAATATGTGTGAATTCTTTGATACACTGATATAATCTAAGAATGAAGAAGGTTCCTAACTATAACTCAAAATTCAAAAATAATTAAAATCCATAAAAACTGACAACTTTTAGATGATAAAATAAAAACTCTAACCAAAGTACAAAGATAAATGATTAATTTTTTAAAAGTCTGCAAGTTATATCATTACTGTATAGCTTCTAAAACAGAAAACAAAGTCTAGCAATTCTTTAAAAACATGACCAAGATGTATGAACGATCATACAGTTCACAGAAAAAGAAATGCAAATAACCCTGAAGCATATGACAAGTGCTGTGTGAAAACAGAAATTAACATACATTACTTCTGGGAATGAAAAATGGAAAGATATTTGGCGATACCCAACAAAGTACATAAACATCCCACTTCTACAAATGTAACTTTATAACACACTAGCAAAAATATACAGAACACATATACACACTGAGCCATTCGCTGTAGCACTATTAGGAATAGCCAAAGATTATAAATAACTAAAATGACTATCAGTAACGGACTGCTGAATAAACTGAGGTATATCTATTAATGTAGGACTATGTGACTGTAAAAAAAGGCAGAATATTTCTATAATGACTATGCACTGATGCTCAGGATCTAATGTTAAGTAAAGAAAGCAAAGTGCAAAATAGGCCGTAATGTATGAAAATTTTTATCTAAGAAAGGGGGATAATATGAATATATATTTGCTTATATTAAAAAATATAGCCCTGGCCAGTTTGGCTCAGCGGTTAGTGCATTGGCCTGCAGTCCAGAGAAACCCAGGTTCGGTTCCCGCTAAGGGCATGTACCTCGGTTGCAGTTTTTCCCCGGCCCTGGTTGGGTTGTGCGGGTGGCAGCCACTCGATGTGTCCCTATCAGGTCGATGTTTCTCTCTCTCTCTTCCTCTCCCTCCCTCCCACTCTGTCTGAACAAAAAATGGAAAAATGTCCTCAGGTAAAAATAAATATATATATATACACACACACACACACACACACACACACACACACACACACATATACAGACCTGAACTGCTTGGCTTAGCAGTAAGGGCATCCGCCATCTTGGGTTCGACTCTGGTCAAGGGCACATATTGATGTTTCTCTCTCCCCCACCCTCCACTCTCTAAAATTCAATGGGAAAATATCCTCAGGTGAGGATTAACAACAAAAAAAATTTTTTTAAATATATATATATTGTATACACACATGCCCTAGCCATTTTGGCTCAGTGGTCAGAGCATTGGCCCTTGAACCAAAGGGTCATGGGTTTGATTTCCTGTCAAGGGCACATACCTGGGTTGCAGGTTCGATCCCTGGCCCTGGTCTGGGTCATGTGAGAGGCAACCCAATCAGTGTGTCTCTCTCACATCAATGTTTCTCTCTCTCTCTCCCTTCCCCTCCCTCTCTTCCACTCTATCTAAAAATCAAATAACCTTTAAAAAAAAAATGTAATTGTAGCCCTGGCCGGGTTTGCTCAGTGGTTAGAGCATTGGCCCTCCGACCTAAGAGTTATAGGTTCAATTCCCAGTCAAAGGCCCGTACCTGGGTTGACGGTTAGATCCCTGGCCCTGGTCAGGGTCACGCAGGATGCAACCAATCGATCTGTTTCTCTCACATCACTGCTTTTCTCTCTCATTCTCTCTCTCTCTCTCTCCCTCTCCTTCCCTAACTCTCTCCCTTCCACTCTAAAAATCAATGGAAAAATATCGCACTGGCCAGTTTTGCTCAGTGGTTAGAGCATCAGCCTGCAGACCAGAATCCCGGGTTCGGTTCCCACTAAAGGCACATAACTTGGTTGCAGTTTCCCCATGGCCCCTGTTGGGACTGTGTGGGTGGCAACCAGTCAATGTATGTTTCTCTCTCACAGCGATGTTTCTCTCTCTTGCCCCCTCTCTTCCTCCCGCTCTGTCTGAGATAAATGCAAAAATGCCCTCAGGTGATGATTTAAAAAAAGAAAGAAAAAGAAAAATATCCTCGGGTGAGGATTCTCTCTCTCACACACACACAAATGTAATTGTTCATCTGAACTGAGGATATTGTATGTTTTCATAATGTGTTTTCTCTTAAAAAAACAAAACAGGCATTCTTTAAAATGTCATATTCTGCAAAGCTGTACAATAAAAATTACAGAGCTTAAGATTAAAAAAAGCATTAGGAACTAACCACTCAAACCTATACAATTTTGTAATAAGAGCCCTAAAAATAACAATTGGTACTCTTAGGAGAAAATCTGGGCAACCCAGAAAGTTCAGGGTGGCTATATGCTGCCTCAGAAGACATTGAAAATGCATAAAAAGAACTTGGTAGAAATGCCAGCTTGCAGGTGCTACAACAACATATACCAGAGTAGAGCTCCAACTGAGTGGGTTCCTATGAAAAGGAATAAGTTCAGTATCCACAAACCCAGAACCTGGCTGAGTTAGGTAAGCACCCTGAGCTTTTTAGCAGTTAAAGAAAAAGAAAAAAATATGGCTAGTTAATGAGAGCAAGTTCTTTACAGAAAAAGTCTAGCCAATAATATGCAGGAAGAATGACAGAAGTAGGACATCACCATTTTGTAACTCCTCATGAATTATATCTAGGCAATAATAAAAATCAATCTCAGCTAAAATCATTTGATGAAAAAATGCTAATGGGGAACTTCATAGGATGGACCAGGCTAACAACCTCAAACAACACAAAAAGAATCAAATGTCCCCTTGAAATCTGCAAATAATTCTTTAGAAGATCATTGGAAAAATAAAAAGTATAGTATTTAAAAAAAAAACACAGACAGCCTACAATGTATCTTTTTTTTCTTTCTAGAAACACTTAAAGCTTGAAGAAGAAATTAAAAAGAACAAAATCTGAAATTACACTTCATATTCTGCCTTTCCATAGGAGGACTCTCTTTAAGGAAAAAAAAACCATGGGTAACATCCACACTTGGACATTCTACAGCAGCAGTTCTCAACCTGTGAGTTGGGACCCCTTTTGGGATCCAACGACCCTTTCACAGGGATCGCCTAAGACATAACAGTAGCAAAATTACAGTTATGAAGTAGCAACAAAAATAATTTTATGGTTGGGGGTCACCACAACATGAGGAACTGTATTAAAGGGTCACGGCATTAGGAAGGTTGAGAACCACTGTTTTACAGGGTTCCACAGAGCCACCCTGTAGGGCTGTGAGGAGGCAACCAATTGATGTGTCTCTCTCATGTTTATGTTTCTTTCTCTTTCTCTCTCTCTCTCTCTCTCTCTCTCTCTCTCTCTCTCTCTCTCTAAATCAATGGAGTCCAGCCAGTGTGGCTCAGTGGTTGACCGTCGACCCATGCACCAAGAGGTCGCCAGTTGGATTCCCAGTTAGGACACATGCCCAGGTTGTGGGCCTGATCCCCAGTTGGGGGCATGCAGAAGGCGGCCAATCGATGTTCTCTCTCATTTATGTTTCTCTCTTTCTCCCTCTCCCTTCCTCTCTCTCTAAAGTCAAAAAAGGGGGAGAAAAAAAAAATCAATGGAAAAATATGGGGTGAGGATTAAAAAAAAAACAACACAATGATTCCCCAGTGAAGAATTGACTGTGACTAGACTGAAGGAATTGACTAAAGAAAGACAGAAGAGAGATAGTTAACCTTGGAAATGAAGGGAAAAGAGACATTCAGATGCAAACTGACAATATCCATTCAAGAGCCATACAAAGAGAGGATTCTGGAGCTCGGTTTGTTTCTGAGAGTAAATAAATCAGGTCTGCTTAATTTTGTGTTTCTGATATACAATGACATCTGACTCTACACTTACAAATATCTTGATTATCACCTGGTTTGCCAACAAGGAAAGAAATTGCTGGTCAGAGAATATAAAGATCGGATACTCATTAATTACTAAATTGCCATTCTAGTTTTAAAACTCACATGCTTGGGACTCTATTGCTATTAGACAAATCCATTCAGTATTTTTATAAATCAGGCTTCTGAACTTATGAGTCTGAAGGAAAGTCAAAGGGAAGAGGAACATAATTATTAATAGATCTCTGAGGAGCCCCGATCCTTGGGGCTAAGTTTTATAGGATTGGTGGTAGGGGTAGGAGCAAAAGAACCTTCAGATTGGAGGTTTGGGGAAGTAAGAACAGAGGAAATGTGCCTTACTTTGGGAGGAAGCCAGAGAGAAGGAATTATCAAAGTTCCCAAGGATCAGTCTGGTATAGAAGGAACGAGTTATAGCAGAGCTTCCCAAGTCATAGGAGTAGGAGAATGATCCCTTTGCCCCCAAGAAGGACATGGAAGTAGCTAAGAGAAAGTAAGCAGACTGGAGAAAGTGTTGTGGTCAGGATGATGAAAATGCAGCAGTGACCTGAATTGAGGGGTGACCACATACCAGACTGGAAAAAAATGCATGAGAATATATTCCCAACCCATGCCTCCGCATTCTCAGGCCCCTGCCAACACCCCCATCCTTCAGCCACTTAGACATAAGCCTACTGAAATGAATGCTCAAATGAAAATCAACTCCAGTTTAAAAAAATAATAAAATTATACTTTGTGAACACCTGTGTGACTTGATATTTGAATAGGATGGAAACTAAACCATCATTTTCCCTAATGCATCTTCAAAAGGAAGAAAAATAACAGAAGCAGTCTCTTAATGTCTTGCTTCTAGGAAAATTGCATAATAATGATATAGTCTCTGCATCATAGCCAACATATATCAAAACTTCTGAGTTTTAGGTTTAGTCTAAAATTCAAAAGAATCACCTTCAGATAGCTTTTTAAAAACTTCCATAATACTAAATCTTGTGTTCCTCCTCCCCCTGCTCCATGTTATTTAACAGTTTATACCTCAAATATACATATGTATTTTTTTTAATCCTCATCCGAGGACAATTTTTCCATTCATCTTTAGATAGAGTGGAGGAGAGAGTGGGAGAGAGAGAGAGAAAAAAGGACGTGAGAGAGACATATTGACCGGTCACCTCTCGCACAACCCCGACCAGGGCTGGGGACAAATTGCAACTGAGGTACGTGCCCTAGGCTGGAATCGAACCCTCGACTCCGTGGTCTGCAGGCCGACCCTCTAACCACTGAGCCAAACTGGCCAGGGCTATAGCTCAAACATATTTACACTCATTATAAGATTCTGAGAACTCACCAAATGTCCATTCTGAACAAGACTGCCAGACACTAAGTAGGTGACATGCAGCTGGGCTCCTGAATTTTCCTTTCGCTTCCGTTCAACATAATCATACAGCATTCTGTTCCAAAGGCACAAGAAAGTCATTAGTAAGACATTTTACCTCATCAACTCTTAATTTGTGACTTAAAAGTTAGGTATATTAAATCTGGCAGTTCACCAAATTTGTTTTTGTTTTTGTTTTTGGTATGTGCCCCCAGCCACTAGGGCCTAGCAGAAACTGAATGCGGGACTCTCTGGTCCACAGGCCGATGCTCCAACTGCTGAGCCAAACCGGCCAGGGCGTTCATCAAATTTTCTACAGAATTTTTGCTCAGTCCATGGACACAGAGTTAAGCTGGGGTCAACTTACTGAGATGGCACAGTGACCCAATTCATAAATGAAATTTTAAAAATCTAATAATAAGCCCAGAGGGATTGAACCTGCAATAAAACAGTAACATATAATGAATAGAACACTCAACCAAGTATACGTTCATTACTATGTGATCCTAGATAAGTTAATTTTTCTAGGCCTCTTAATAACATGAGGTATAAAACAGGAGGGTTGTACTAGGTAGACTATTGATTCTTTTACCATGGGATTCATGTGGCCATCTATAACCCTCCACTCTCAAAATTGAAGGTAAAATGTGCTTTTTTTATAGAAAGACAGTTCAGGGTTTTCAATAGTTTCTCAAAAGTGTTCCAAAACATTAAGAAGTGCTAATTATATGATCACAAATGTCCAGTTTTGAAACTCCAGTTTTATAATCACTCAGCTTCAATGCTATTTCAGAACTACAGAATTTAACAGTTTACTCCCACTGCCTAGTGTTCAGTGTCCATTAATTCCAGACTGCCAAACACCCAATGCAGAAAGGACGCTGCTTTTAGTAACGTCCCTAAAATCCTATGATCCAGGAAATATCAGAGGTTAGCTCCCCTCCCTCAATAACTTACAGATGAACAAAAACAACAAGAGACATATCATTTGTCTTTTATTTAAAATATATATATATACGGAGTCTCTATAACACGTCATACTTCTGCCAAGGACAGCCAGAAACTCAAACTCAAAAATTCCAAGGGAAACTCAACCTACATTGTTGACCATTCTGTTCTTGAAGCATTTGCTCTCTTAGCATCCATGATCCTGAGCCCCACTGAGTCCCCCTGCTATCCACCCCTCTAACTGCACCTGCTCCATTTCCTGCAGACTTGATTACCTCCTCCTTTTCTCTAACAGGGTTTTGTCTTGAGTTATCTTTTCACTCTATATATTAGTGACAAGCCACCTGGGTTTGCCTGAATTTGGGAGGTTTCCTGAAACATGGACTTCTGGTGCTAAAATCGACAGTCCTGGGCCAACCAAGATGGTTGGGCTATTTCATTCATCCCATGGCTTCACTTATTCCTGACAACAACATCTGCCCAAACCACCCAAGCCAGAAATCTGGGAGTCATTATCCTTCAGTTCTCCCTATTCAGTGAGTTGCCAAATCTAGTCAGGTCTCTCTCCCAAGTAATTCTTGACTCCATGCCCTCCAAATCTCTTGATTGGACTATTTCAATTCCAAGTGTCAATTCTGCACCCCCACCCCTTCATTATCCACAAGGCTGCCAGAAGAAAATGCAAATCAAGTCATTAGGTCAACAAAATTTTACTGAGTGGCTACTTCATATTCTATGCTTGAGAGAGAAAGAGAGAGAGAGAGAGAGCGAGCATGCACGCAATGAACAAAGTAAAGTTCCTAACCTTTTAGAGCTTATATTGCAGAAAAGAGACAAACAAATACGTAAAGATATGTTAAATGGTAGCAAACCTATGGGGGGGGGTGGAGAAAGTGAGAAATGTTGCTATTTTATATAAGGTGTTAGAAAAGGCCTCATAAACAGAACCCTGCAGGAAGTATGGAAGCCACCACTGTGGTTATCTTGAGAAATAATATTCCAGGCAGAGAGAACAGCAAATGCAAATGTCCTGAGGCCAGAATGTAGGCAAGGTACAAAGAACAGAAAGGAGGCAAGTGTGCTGAAGCAGAATGAAGAAGAATAGTGGTAGCAGAGACAGCCAAGCACCAGACATGTAGGGCTTTGTGGCCCTATGTAGAACTTGAAGTGAAGTCATCAGAAGGTTCAGAGCAGAAATACCACGATCTCACCTTTTAGAAGGGTCCCTGACTGCTGTGTGTAAACTATACAGCCAGGCAGTAAGGGAGGAAGCAGGGAGACTAGTTAGGAGGCTACTGCAGTACTCTAGGCTAGAGATGATGGTGGCTCTGACTAGTGTGGTCACAATGGAGGTAATAAATTAGTGGATGAATTCTGGGAGGGTTTAAAGGAAGAAACAACATTTCCTGATAAATATAAGAGAAAAAGGAGTTATGGATGATTGAACTAACCCACTCAGAGAATAAAGTTGTCCTTCACTGAGATAGAGAAAAGCAGAAGTAGGTGTTGTGGGCAGAAATCAGGAGTTAGCTTTGGGGGCATGTTAAGTCTAAGATGCCTATTAGTCTTTAAGTTATAATGAAAAGGTAGTTGGATATTCTTGTCTAATAAATTATTTTTTATTTTTTTTAATCCTCACCCGAAGATATTTTCTACTTATCTTCAGATACAGTGGGAAGGAGAGAAAGGGAGAGAGAGAAACATCTATGTGAGATGGACACATCGACTGGTTGCTTCCCACACGACCCCAACCAGGGCCGGGGACAAAGTGCAACCGAGATACATGCCCTTGACCGGAATTGAACCCAGGACTCATTGGTCCGCACGCCGACGCTCTACCGCTGAGCCAAACTGGCCAGGGCTGACATGTTATTCTTTATTCAGAATTTTTCAATAGTTCTCCATCCACTAAGGATCAACTCCAACTTCCTAGTAATGATATGCAAGACCCTTCTTGTTCTGGTCCCCGGTATCTCTCACCATTCTCTCACACACACACTATTTTTAGCCTTATTAAGGCAGGATATAAAAAACTAGGAAAATTCCTTGGCAAGTGGAATGGGGAAACTGAGATAGCTGAACAAACTGGCCAAACCATTTACAGCCAGATACAAAAGGTCACCTCCCTAGGGATAACATCTAGGCCTCAGTTGTATTTCATCTCCAAGCCCAGAAAAGCAGCAAAACCAGGTGGGCAATGCCAGGACCAGCTGCAATGATGACTCCCTGCCCTGACACTGACCAATCAGTAGAGACCATGACCCTGAAAAAGCATACCTGGAAAACTAGTGAATATTCTGCTGAAACCCTCCTGAGACCTCCCCTAAGATTCCTGCCTGCAAAAGAGAGATAAAAAACCCTCAAGACAAAGAACCCAGATCGTGCTCTCCCTCTGTGAAGCAGGCCTGTGCTTTCCCCTTCCCCCTCTTCTTCCCCTACAGGCATGCATCTCCTAAACTCTAAAGGTCCCCAAGAGACTTGAAAACCAGGGCAGCAGCAGTTCGTCCCAGGCTAAGCCCCTGAACCTGTCTCCAAGGCCCCCTGACTTCCCAGTAAACTAAAGCAGCCCAGCCTGAGTTTTCCTGCTGCTTTTTCTATGCTAAGTCCCTCCTTATTTCACTGTCCCCAGTTTTTTTGTTTTTTTCAATCCTCACCCAAACATATTTTTCTATTTATCATCAGATAGAGGGAGAGAGAGAGAAAGAGAAACATCAGTGTGAGAGAGATACATTGACCGGTTGCTTCCTGCACGACCCAACCAGGGCATGGAATGAACCACAACCGAGGTACGTGCCCTTGACCAGAACCAAACCCATGACTCACTGGTCCGAGGGCCAACACTCTAACCACTGAGCCAAACCAGCTAGGGCGCCAGTTTTAATAAACATACCCTCATAGTCACCTGGACTCATGTTGTGAAATCTTTCCTGCACAAAATCAAGAACCCACACACTACCATCTGGCCCTAGGAAGACATGTTCAGGGACAGGTCCTCTGTCCAGTAACATCATGAAACATTCTGCCGTTCCCCTTGCTCCTTTGCATTCCCCTCCTTCTGCCTGGAATGCTCTCCTGAGGCCTCATCTACCTCATCCCTCATCCAGATAGCAGTTCAGTTATCACCTGCTATGTGAAACTTTCCCTAAAACCAAAGGCCAGCAGACACCCCTGCCTTCTAAGCTCTAACAGAGCCTATCCCAAATCTGTTATTAGAGCACTTACCACACTGTATTCTAATTACTTAGTTTATATATCTGCCATCCCCAGTAGACTATAAGCTCTGTAAAGACAAAAATGTGCCCTAGTTAGCATTTTTGTTGAGTACTCTATCTTGTTCTCTGCAGTGTTTCCTTCTATCCGGCTATTGCATTAGGAAAGATGAGGTAACACAAATTTATGAACATTTTGGTTTACTTATGCTAGTTAGGACCAAGCTAGTAGAAGAAATGATAGACAGGAACCATGCCCAAGATGTTCTCAAGCTAGCTGGCTAAATCTTTCATCTACAACTCATGTATCATCACAGACAACTTCTATGTACATATTTCCCCAAATCAACAGGGAGGTCAAAACTGCCCAAACTGTTTTTGAAAAAAACTAATTTATGCATACCTTTAGAGTCTCTAAGACAAGTTTACCTAATTTGTTTTTTTAATCCTCACCCGAGGACATTTTTGCATTTATCTTCAGATAGAACAGGAGGGAGGGAAGGAGAGGGAGAAAGAAATAGAGAGAAACATCAATTGGCTGTCTCCTGCACATCTCCTACTGGGGATCAAGCCCGCAACCCGGGCATGTGCCCTGATCAGGAATCTGAACCAGTGACCTCTTGGTGCATGGGACGACACTCAATCCACTGAGCCACACCGGCCAGGCAAAATGTTCTTAAATATGAATGACAACATATATGAATTCTTATAAGATGCACTTCCTACAAACATGATTAACTATACCTTCTCATTTTAATTAATTAATTTTCCAACCTGATCAGTTCCACCCATAAATTTTCCCATTACAATGTATACGGTATATTACTGCCTTCCCTAACCCAATTTAATTCCTTCACAGCATTTTTACAACCTGAAATTATCTTGTATATATTGATGATGGGAAGGACCTTGTCTATCA